CCTGGACTTTTTCTGTCCTCCTGTGGAGTCACCCGCCCACTGCCCCTGTCCCAGTGGTCTCATTCCGGGCTGCAGTCAAGCCCTAGGAATTTCGCATATTTGAAGCCAAATCTTCCTTCCCCACTTCCTGGAATCATCCAGGGTTCGCGATTTAAAATTTTTTTCCCTTTTCTTTTCCTAACTTCCTGCAAGGTTTTGTTTATGTCTGTGAAGTTTCATCTTGTTAGTCATCGCTTAGGACTGTCAGGGCTCTTTGGAGCCTGATTATGTCATCCTGTGTAGTCACTCTCCTGGTTTTGCATCATTCTAATTTGATAGAAACGTCTGCCTTCCTATAAGTCTCCCTGATAAAAACAGGGCATCGGCTGGGGCTCAGTGCGGAGTCCTGTGGCACAACCACAGAGACCTCTTCTAAGCCGATGTTAATCACTGTTCTTGGGATGTGATATTTGAGTCCTCTGTGGCTTCACTCTAGTAGATGCCTTGCACGTGTCTCCATCTTGTCCACAAGAATGTCAGAGGCTATTTGGGTAAGTGCCCTGGCGAAGTCCAGACGCGGCATCTGCAGCATTCCACGGACCTACCCAGGCTCCTAACCTTGTTAGGAAAGGAAATGAGGGGAGTGGCGTGCACGCAGGTGTTGACCGGTAGAGTGGTTAGTCTGTCGATGACAACCCCTACCCCCTCTCCGCCCACCACTTTCCCCCAAAATGCGCAAAACCAAGGGAGAGGAGAGAAGCATTTCCCTGTTATCCTCAAGAGCCTAGTGAAACATGTACAAGACAATATCTATGAAATTCGAAGCGTTCTTCTGATTGCTCTAAGGTGTATCAATTTGAAGACTAGTGAGTGCTATTTGTGATTTCTTTCCAGCAAAGAGACCTTTAAGAAGATTTTTGTTTCAAGTACTTGGATTCTACCCCTGAGCCATTAGAAATACCTCTGGTTGTGGGTACCAGAGATGCCCTTTCAGAAACAGTCTCACTCTAGAAAATAATGCTTTGGACTCTGAGAGTAGCTGTCTCGAATTGTAGGTGGAATTAACTGTGGTGGCAATGAAACAATCATTGCAGAATGCTTTACATTTCAGAGCTTATTGGGGTAAGGTAGGATGGAGCACCAGTTCCAGATATGTCATCTGGACGTTGTATTGAATTTGATTTCCCTCGTTTTCTTCCAGGATCGAGATTTAGAGAGACTTCGTAGAAAATGGCTAAATGCGTTAACGAAACGTCAGGAGTACCTGGATCAGCAGCTACAAAAGCTTGTCAGTAAACGTGGTAGGAAAAACAATTCAAATATTTCCCTGTCCCCCAAATCAGTGCATAGTTAATTAATCCCCATTCGTAGCCACATAAATTAGAGCTAGGTGAGCACGTCAGAGGTGGGGACGGCAAGAGCACACGAGTGTTACTCCACATTAATCCTGTTGTAATAAAGTCTTGGTGTGGGCTCCCCCGTCCTCCCCACCCCTCAGCAAAGAGAGAGAAGATACAGTGCACAAAACAAACACTGTCCCTCAAAAATAACTTGCAGGAAGGTGTCACTGTTTCTTGTCCAAAGTGCTCGGGTTGTCTGACGCTGGACCAGGTCACTCCTGTGCTGTCCCACTGTGGGTCTTCCGTGAACTGAGGATGGCCCCCCTGCAGGAGCCCACCTGACCCCTCTAGCTTTGAGTTAGTGTTTTGTTGCTAGTGAGCACTCATCAACCAATAACTGAAATACAGGCACATCTAGTCTGTACTCAGGACAAACATATAAATAGCAAGTGAGATTTCTGAGTCTAATTCCTAATGTTCCAGATAAAACAGAGGATGATGCTGACCGCGAAGCACAACTTCTAGAGATGCGGTTGACCCTAACTGAGGAAAGGAATGCGGTGATGGTCCCCTCTGCTGGCAGTGGGATTCCAGGGGCCCCAGCAGAATGGTATGAACCCTACAGGGTGACTTCTGGAGTTCTCAACGCTCCCTAAGCCACCTGCTTTCAGTTTGAATTTTGCGTGTGCTGCAATTAATGGAAGATTTGTAATGGCTTATGGGGAAAAAGTTGTTTGAACAAAAGAAACTGTTAAATTACTTTCACAAGTAGAATAACTATGGCCTAAAACTGTTTTATTAAATATTATTGTTATTGGCCAAAGTCATTAAGATTTCTGAGAACCTAAATCAATATTTAGTACCGCTGCACTTAGCATTGAAAAAATAGTTAATATGTTAATTACTTGGGTCATCCCTTTAAAAGACTGTTCGGTCATAAGAAAATTGCATCTCCACGCGTTTTTGGTTTTGGTGCTGGCTTAAACTGTACTGTCAGCAAATGTCCTGTGCCACTTTATAGAAATTAAAAATAGTAAATTAAGCCATAGGGAGCCCTTAAGTATATCATTTTATAAGAAAGTAGGTTTAAACAAGGGAACTTCACTGTAAACAGGTGTGTCTTGTAAGACTGAGTTCTGGCATCAGAACATATGACGCAGCAGCTAC